CTCACTCACTGATTCAGCTGCTGGGTGCAGAGGCCCAGGCCTGCCCTCCCCTTTGGTCAGTCACTCACTCACTCGTTCACCTGCTAACTGCTCCTCAGGTCCTGGCTTTCTCAAAGCTGACTTGCTGCTCCATATTCCGATTAGCACAGGGAGGAGGTGTGAGGCTCCGGAGGCTCCCAACTCTGCCCCTCGTCAGCAGGGGAGTCTCAGGACTCCCCTTCACTCCCAGGGTGAGGGGCTCACTGGCCAGCTCCAATAGGTGCACTGATATCACACAAGAATATCCAAAGGAATGAAACGCTAATGGTAGAATTCAGGCCAGCCAAGGAGAGAAAAGTTGGGGAACAGTGGGCAGGCAGTCTGCAACCCTAACCACAGGTCCGTGCCACTTTCCCATGAGTCCAGAGCCCTAGACAAGCCCCTCCTGCAAGTTTCCGGAGCTTGGATCCCCGTTGCCCCTGCGCACAGGAGAGGAATCCACCCTCCCGGCTCTCCTGGAGGCATCCTGGCCTATTACCATCGCAACAGGAGGAGGGTTTGGGAGGGAATTCTATACATTTAAACATACACTCGAAGGAAAACACAGCTGTCAGCCTGGGCTTGCTGCTGGAGCCTGAGCACGGGACAAGCTCCCCCTATACCCTCCCCCTCCTCCCACTGCCCCAACTATGATTTGAATTCCAGTTTTTATCAGAACTCCATGGAAAACAGGTCCAGGCTGAATTTATGCAGGGAGTGCGGGGGGGGGGGAGGCCAGGTGCCAGAGTCGGGAAGCGCGGAGCCCACCGTGCTGCACGTGAAGGGGGGCACACGCGTGTGCATGCACGCACACACATGCACCCACACGCGAGGGCACTGGCCCTTTGCCCCGTTGGGCCTTCTCCCACGGTGCTGAGAGGCTGCCAGTCGCAGCCCGAGGCCCAGCTTCTGAGGTCTGGCAACATAAGGCTGCCCCACCACGGGTGCCGGGGCCTCTCGGCTCCCACCTTCCCCACTTGCTTCAGGATGACGAGCCATGTGGGGGCCTCATGCTGCCCTGGGAAGCCCCTGGGGAAGGCCCAGCCAGGCCCAGAACCAGGGCAAGACCCTTCAGCTCAGCCCCAGCCACCCCGACCTGTCAACTCTGACAGGCCCCTTGGAGAGCAGCAGCAGTAGCTGACTCACACAGGGACCCCGAGGCCCACACCCCAGGGAAGCCTTTTTTTTTCTTAAGATTTTATTTATTTATTTGAGTGAGAGAGAGCACAAGCAGGGGGACAGACAGAGGGAGAAGCAGGCTTCCTGCCGAGCAGGGAGCCCGAAGCAGGACTCGATCCCAGGACCCCGGGTTCATGACCTGAGCCCCCCAGGTGCCGGGGGGGTCTTGTTCTCATCCCCAGGTAGGGTTCTCGCTCTCTTGTTTCAGCTGGGAGTCGAACAGGAGCCCCTGGACTGTCTCTCAGGACTCAATGAGAAACGCTAACCCCGCCATCTGGGTTTCAGTCAGACCCCTGCCCTCACGTGCTGATCTTTGCCCACACGGAGCTGGTGCTTACTAGATGCTCAGAAAATCTAATGAGCAAACCAACAAGCAAACGTCCACGTCCCTCGCCAGTTCCTGCTGGGGGCTGCAAGGCCCTTGCCACTAAAACACGGCGCCTGGAACCTCACAGACACACAAGGTGACCCCGAGGCAAAGCCGGACCCACTGTGGCGTCCCCTGGAATGACACAGCCCCAGATCTGCCGCCACCGGCACAGCTCAGCAGACCTCCCTCCGAGCACAGCCTGGAGCCAGATGAACATGCACAGAACATTCCGGCAAGCATTCCTGTAAGGAAGCAATCCTGTAGTGAGGATGGATGGTAGCCAAGGGGGCCGCGACTGGTCTGGGTCCTGCTTGGTGTGGCGTGAATGCACACGGAGCAGGGAGAGTGTGAGGGGCACAAGTCCCCCGCCCCCGGGTGTCCCCTCGGGGCCCTGCAGGTTGCCCAGAAGACCTGAGGGGCTCCCAGGCCCCCTGTCGCTCAGGAAGCAAGAAGTTCCCCAATCTGAACAAAACTCCCCAAAGGACATTTTGCTCGCCGTCTGTTGTCAGCT